AAGAGAGAGGAGGTTCCTCCTCCACTACTGACATCAACCTTAAACAGAAGAAACGTGTTAATGAACCAGGTAGTGTGTGTGTGTGTGTGTGTGTGTGTGTGTGTGTGTGTGTGTGTGTGTGTGTGTTGGACATACAGAGGTGGTTTGTGTGTGGTTATGTCTTCCACCAGTCTCTCCTCATCCAATGGAAGCTCAGTTTCTTCCCAAGTGAAGGGAGGCGGGGCTTGGTGTACAGTAGCTGGGCTTTCTGCAGAGGGGGTGGGCTCTGGGCTGAGAGTGGGTGTGGCTACGAGCTCTGAGGTCACCAAAAGACCTGGTGGTGCGATTGGTTGAGGAGGCTCCTTATTCAGCGGGCTTGTCGGTTCTGATGGAAGGGGTGTGGTTACTGCCGTAGTCTCTCTGCTGGGCGGGGCCGGGCTGGGCGGTGGGGTTGGTTCCGGTGTGGGGACCAATGGGAGCGGTTCGTTCTGGAAGAGAAGCGGCGGCCTTCAGAGACCGGGCTTAACGCTATGACGCTACGACAGAGTTTCCGTACCTCCTGAGGGTCTGCTGGTCCTGCTGATTCCAGCGCCGGGTCTGGTCCTGCGCCCAGCGGGTCTCTCTGGCCCAGCGTCAGGGCGATAGTCTCAGCCAGAACCTCGTTCACCAGCTGCCGGATTAACTCAGAGTCCACGGGCACGCTGGCGTCCACGAACAGCTGCAGGCCTGCGTCTCCTGCTGCCTCCACTGCAGACACACAGAGGAGCAAACAGTCAGGGAGCAGCAGGGGAGCAGAAGAGGAGGAGCAGGAGGAGGTACACCTACCAATGTCTGAGGTGACGCTGCGCTCCTCTGGATCTGACTGGTCCACGTCGCTATTGTGGGCGTGGTCAGAAGGCGGGGGCCAGTACAGCTCTGAGATCATCCTGGACATCAGCTGCTGCTCCACCCTGAAGACAGAAACCAAAATTGTGACAATGTGGTGTCGTTTCCACGGTCTGGGGTTCGTGCTGGTTTCTCACCATTCCACCAGCCGGGTCTCCAGGACATCCCGCTGCAGGGCCGTGCCCAGGACGGGGACCTGATCCTGGGCTGGGAGGGCAGAGGGAGCCTGGGGAGGGAAGATGGGACCCTGGTAGAGGACTGGAGGGGGAGACGGACCCCCGTCCAGCTCCACGGCCTCCTCACCTGACACGCTGACCTCCTGCTGAGAGGAGGTTCACTATTCAGTGACATCACTACACCTGAGCTCAAGATTTCTGCACGGCACTGTAACCTACATGTGCCTGACATTAATATTAATGAGTCAATAGATTATTTTAAAACTCTACACAACATCTTCATCTTCTTCATGACTGAAAACCCCAAAATTCTGAAACAGCGGCTCAGTTTTTAAAGTTTTCTGAGATTTCTACTAAAAGTCTAAAAAACCCAAAAAAACATCACAACTGAAAATCAGTGAAATGACGGGATAAAGGATCGAGATATAAATCAGATGTGTCCAAAAACATGAATAGTAATAGCAATCATCGTCATCATCTTCTTCGCTCTGAGTTGCTGCTGTTCTGTTTTCGTCCAGCAGGTGGCGCTGCAGCCTCACTGAAAACACTGACAGTCTACAGCAGAGGTCTCAACCTGGCGGCTGCATGTTGACATGAAGAAATCGAATGCAGTGACTTTTTTGTTAAGGAGGATTTGTTTTTGTTGAGTACGATGTTAAAATAAGTTCTTTAAAAGGATGGAATATGTCATGAGCAGAGAGCACAAACATGCTGAGGGATGTCTGTTAGCTCAGTGAGAGTCACAAACTCACGTGCTCACTTATGTCTGATTTAGTTAAGAACACAATGACAGCAGCAGTGCTGCCACGTGTGCACAGAACAAACGTCCAATGAAAGGCTTCAGTTAGCGAAGAGGGAACAAAACATTTCAGGAAGTATTTGTGGGCATTTTTTTGTTTTTATACTACTTGAAGACTAAAGTGGCCGTCCAATGAGACGACGGTGGCTGCTCTAAAGCACAGAGGAGGGGGAGGGGCTTACCTGCACAACATCAACAACAGACAGGAAGTCAGTTCCAGGGAAGAAGTCGTCCTCTTCCACTTCTTCCTCGTTCCCTTCGATGATGTCAATCGTGTGTGATGGAGCACGGGGAGGAGCTTGTTCTGCCTCCAGGAGCTGCTGTGAACACACACACACACCTGTCAGAGCTCACACCTCCACCCTTGACTGACTGAAGTCCTCAGAGGCTCAAAGCTGCTCACCTGGTCAGGTGCTTCATCGCCCACAGAGGCTGTCGGAGGGGCATCGAGCGCTGATGTCACTTCTTGAGGATGCTCACACCTGGAGTCCATCCGGGGTGGACCTGCATGGGGAAGGTTGTGTGTGTTATACTTGACCTTTGACCTGGAACTGTTGTTTATGTTTATTTTAACCTTTACAGAAACAGGTTACTATGTTACTGACCCAGTGGGATCGCTATGGCGACAGGGCAGCTGTTTGCAGGGGTCATGCTGAGGTCATCAAAGTGACCTGAGGTCAGGTGTGATGAGCTGAAAATGTGAGATCGTCCAGGTGAGGAGGAAGCAAAGGGAGGGGCTGAAATGATTGGTTGGGCCTGAGTGAGGGGTGGGGCCAGGCTGGTCTGAGTCTTGGAGGACTTCAGCTTCACACCTGAGACGCAGAGCAGAATGTTTGACGACGCCCACAGGTCAACCTTTACCATCACACTTACTGATGTCGACTTTCTGACCTCGGACACTCTCCACTAGTCGGGGGCGGGGCTTCCTTCCGAGTGGTGAGGCAGGTGAGCTGAGGCGAAGGTACGGACTCTTCTTCAGGGTCCGTCTCAGACCTTCATACGGCGCCCGGCCATACAGCCGGGTCAGGTACGATTCTCCGTCCACTTCCAACTGATGACGCTCAGCTGCTCCACCTGTGCCTCGGTTAGGCTCCACCCCCTGCAGGTGCATAAACACATAACCAATCAGTGATCGCTTGTTTGTTATTGATGAGAAACTAATCAATGGCTTCCAGAAGAATCCAGCCTCACCGCTCTGATTCCGGCTCTCTGCCCTCTGCTTCCTCTCCTCGCTGTCCTCATACTTCCTGTTCCTCTGAGCGCGCCCACTGGCCTCTCCTTCCCTGAGTGGGCGGAGCTATCAGCGTCCACAGCTGAGTGATGGTTTCTGATGTTCCCTGAGGACATCTCAGCCTGATGGCAAGGCAGAAAAGGGTCAGTCCCCGTTTTACTTCTTCTGCTCTTTCTCTGAGCACCGGGGGAGGAGCAGAAGAAGAAAAGTTCAAAGAAGAAGAAGGAGCGTTTGTGCTGTCGTATGAGTGAGAGAACAGATGGCGCCACATCGGAGTTCTAGAAGTGAAGTTTAGAAGAAGAAGAAGAAGAAGAAGAAGCAGACAAAAAGAAAGATGAAGGTGTTCCCAGCCTGCTGGAGCTCACCTGGATGTCTCTGCTTAACCTGCTGATCCAGGCGTCCACTGTCTTCTTGATGCGGACCTCCTCGCTGTGGTCTCTGCCGGTCAGAGAAACCATCCTAAGTGTTTAAACCTGTCCTGTGTTAGCGAGCACACCTGAAGTCAACACTACCATTAGCTACCTGTTAGCAGCTAGCGCCTCCAGCTGGCAGTGCAGAACCTCTCCGGTCCGGGCTCTGAGCAGAGCCTCCAGGTTCTCCTCCAGAACTTTCTTCTGCTTTCGAACCTGATGGAGAACCTGACCCGCCTCCTCCAGCAGGGACGGGACCGCGGACCTCCTCTGGACCAGCACAGACTGGGACTGCTGGGACCAGAGGTTATGTTCTTCATCAGTGGTTTTATTGGGCTGGGGTAGTCTGGACTGGTTTTGCTGGGACTGTAAACTGTTTTCATGGGATAAGTTTTGTTGGAGGTGGGAAGATCGGGACCTCGGGCGATTTTCCTTTGAGGTGGTTTGTTGGGACTGGGTTTGCTGGGACTGGGACTGGGTTTGTTGGGATTGCTGGTGCTTCGGTGAAGGTCTGCTGGTTTTCAGAGGGTCTTCTGGCTGCTGGGGGACAGAACATGTGTCAGGCTTCAGTATTACAGACTCCCGTTAACTCGAGCTGAGCTGAACCGTACACTCACCGTCAGCAGCATCTTCATCTCAGTCTTCAGACGCTTCATCTCCTGCAGTACGTCATTGGCTCTCCTCGCTGCCTCCCAGCTGTGATTGGCTAAAGACCGGAGCTGAGACCTTTCAGGCATGTGAGCATGTCTGAAGCATTAAAAACATGCAAAGAGAACAGATTTAACTTCCTAGATCGCTCAGCCTGAATAAATGACCAGTGTAACGCTATAATATTAATATCTGTTAGTTTTTGAGTGTCTTATCTGACTAAACACTCACGCCTCAACAACGCTGTTGTTACTCAAGAAGTGAAAGTAACAGCCCATCCAGCGCTCCGCTCCACGCAGCGTCACATATCCTAATACACAATCTGACTCACATCATCATCATTTATATGTTTTTATACTTTAAAAACACACCTGGTAGACCAAAGTGCTGTACAATACAAATATGCATATAGTAATAAGATGGTAAATGGTTCGCTGCGTGAGTCACACTGTCCTAGTGTGTCCAGGTCACGCCCTGTGTGTGTGTGTGTGTGTGTCTGTGTGTGTGTGTGTGTGTGTGTTGTCGTGGTGTGTGTGTGTGTCTGTGTGTGTGTGTGTGTCTGTGTGTGTGTGTGTGTGTGTGCGCTTTAGACTCAGCTGAATTGCCAAGAATGTGACACTGTGTGTTGTGTGTTTGATCTCATTAATTTGAATCAGTGTAACGTTCAGTGTCAGTAGTTTTCTTCTACGCTGTCGCATCATTTATTTGTTTGTTTACTTCTGTTTAATGGTTCTGATCTTGGTTTCCTGTCAGTCCTCTGTGCTGCTGTGTGATCGCAGCAGCGTGTGCTTTTCGGAGGGTGGGTAGCTTTCTCGCCCCCTGGTGGATGGCTGTAGGGTACATCATAAGTCCCCGCCCCTCCACGCGAGAACACTGTAAGAGTGTAAGCGTTGGTGATCGGGAGCAGCCTGAAGGGCGGGGCTCAGCTCAGTGTCGGCTTCATTCCACCAACCTGTCAGGTTTCTCTACACGTAAAGTTTGAAGTACTTGAGTAAAGTGAAAGCACAGACTGGGGGTCACATGGGGTTTTGGTCCGTTGTTCCGAGGGCATTTGTCACGCTTGCAATTAGTGCAAAATGCTGCGGCACGATTTTTAACTGGCAGAAGAAAATTTGATCACATCACTCCGATTTTGGCCTCTTTACACTGGCTTCCAATTGAATTCAGGATCCGTTTTAAAGTCCTTTTATTGGTTTTTAAATCTCTAAATGGTCTGGCACCTGTTTATTTGTCTGACTTGTTGAAGCCCCACGTCCCCACTCGTTCCCTTCGGTCAGCTGAGCAGTTGCTGCTTTCGGTCCCAAAGTCACGGCTGAAACTTAGAGGAGACCGAGCGTTCTCTGTTGCAGCGCCGATGCTTTGGAATAACCTTCCTCTCCATATTAGACAGGCTAGCATCAGTGCCAGTTTTTAAGTCTTTATTAAAAACCTATTTTTATTCCCTGGCTTTTAACTTGTGTGTAACAGTCGCGTGACTGTATAGAGACCAGTTAATCAGCTGCCCTCAATTTATTTCTCAATTGAGAACATATTAATTACTAATTATTATTCTCCCCAGTAATTAAGGTTAGGATATGATTTTTTTATTCCAATCCATTCTTCTTTAGCAGCATTTAAATAACCTTTGATCAGATTTGATGGTTTTGTTACAGACTTTTCAAAAAAGTGTTTTGGGGGCGTTCGTGGCTCAAGAGTTGGGAGTTCGCCTTGTAATCGGAAGGTTGCCGGTTCGAGCCCCGGCTTGGACAGTCTCGGTCGTTGTGTCCTTGGGCAAGACACTTCACCCGTTGCCTACTGGTGGTGGTCAGAGGGCCCGGTGGCGCCAGTGTCCGGCAGCCTCGCCTCTGTCAGTGCGCCCCAGGGTGGCTGTGGCTACAATGTAGCTGCCATCACCAGTGTGTGAATGGGTGGATGACTGGATATGTAAAGCGCTTTGGGGTCCTTAGGGACTAGTAAAGCGCTATATAAATACAGGCCATTTA